ACTGGAATTTGGTCAAGTTCAAGGTTTCATGAAAATCCACACTGCATGTACCTTAGGTCTCACCTTGGCAGCCGAGACAAGCCACCCCAACCAACTTGGCGACACATCAGTGTCAGCCTTGGTAGGATAAATCTCCCCAGATCTATGTAACGGTTGTGAAGATTCTAAACTAACACGAGTCTCACAAGTGTCCAGTTTAAGGGTATTACACAGAAACACACAGCAATGACATGAATCAATTATGTAATTTATTCATTTACAATAAATGTCAAAAGATACATCAATCTGATTGGAGCTAAGGGCATAACTATCTAACACTTCCAAGACTTCTCAGTCACAGACATTCTAAGATCTTGGATAAAAGTAGCACAATCCTCAAGAGTGAAAGAGAAAATAAGGATGGAATGAAAACATCCAAAAGGCAACAAGATTAAACTGAATTTTGATGGAAGCTCTCTTGGAGGAGTAATCAGAAATTTTAAAAGGAGAATATTAGCTTTTTTCTTTGGACCAATTGGCATTGGCAACTCTCTAAAAGTTGAGTTAATGGCATTGCTACAAGGGCTGAAGATAGCTAAGCAACTAGAACTTAAGCATATTGATGTTGAAGGTGATTCAAAGGTGATCATCTCTTAGGCTAAAAACAATAGAAGTACTCCGTGGACCTTTAAACAAGTGTTAAAGGAAGTGGAAAATATTGTAAAGGAGGTAAAAGCTGAATTCAAATGGGTTAGAAGGAGTGCAAATGCGTTAGCCGATTATCTTGCCAAACAAGGGGCTTTGAGGCAACAACTATTTTGGGCTGCAATGTAAAGTGAGACAGAAATATGTAATAGTTTGGGAGCATTAATCCCATACACAAGCTGTAAAATTTTATTTTAACCCTAAATTTAAATAAAATTCTCTTTTGTTGATAAAAAAAATCAAAGAATATCAAGCGAAGTTGAAAAGCATCTTGGAAAAGGTATCAAAACTCCTTTCTCTAATAGGGGTGTTTCCATAACACCCCTATTAAGGAATAATTGAGAAAGAATGGAACTCCATAACACAATGGTGTTTCCAAGAGAAGAAATCGGACTTTGATGGACATGGTTAGATCTAAGATGAACCATGCAACTCTACCCATGTCATTTGGGGATATACACTACAGACTACCATTTACACCATAAACAAGGATCATACTAAGTTTGTTCCCAAGACTTCCTATGAGGTGAAAGCCCTTATTGCAACACTTCTGTGTGTGGGGCTCACTTCCACATCTCAAGAAGTTGCAAGTGACTAAGTTAGAATCTATAACTAAGGTGTGTCTATTCATGCGGTATCCTAGGAAATGAAAGGGTACAGTATGATCCAAGTGTCCCCAGTGGTTCCTTGAGGATAGGATTCTCTTGGGTGGAAAGACTACTCATATGGTCTTGCATGAACTACCCACTGTCCCCAGTGATCATGACTCATATCTAATTCGAATCATATTCAACAAAATCCAAATATGATCCCATTATTGAAAACTTGCATCTAAATTTGATCTGAAATCCGATCAAATTTGAAGATCTTGGATTTGAATTTGAATCCTAACGGACTCGGATGAAATAGGCCTACTCCTAGCCAAAGAGGCTAACTCCTCTTATGCCATTACTTAGACCAATTGCCCAAATTGCACCCAACCTGCTACACCTATAGTTGTGTAGGACACGCCCTAATAAACTATTTTAAGTTTTCAATAGTTGAGGAGGTGCCACCTCGAGAAGATACACCTATGACTGTGCAAGAAGAGATTCAAGAAGCCTCGTAAGAAGGTGCACCCTTACAAGAGGCTGTAGAGTTAGATCTCTAGGAAGCTATATAACCTGCATTAGTAGTGCCTCATTGTAGTGGGAGAGTATATGGATTATGTATTTGGGTGAGTTTCAAACAAACATAAAGGAAGTAGAGTTGGGTCCACCTACTTATGAAGAGGTCATGATTGATGTAGACTCTAAACTTTGGAAGAAAGCCATGCAGGTTGAAATAGAATCCATATATTCCAATGGTGTCCAGACCATTGTTGATCCCCTTGAGAACCTAAAGCCCATTGGTTGCAAGTGGATATTCAAGAGAAAGAGAAGTATCGATGTGAAACTATAAACCTATAAGGCAAGGCATATGGCAAAAGTTACATTCAAAAAGAGGAATAAACTATGAGGAAACCTCCTCACTTGTAGCTATGATAAAATCAATCCAGATTCTCATGATAATTGCAATTTACTATGATTATGAAATATGATAGATGGATGTGAAAACTGCATTCCTAAATGTTTTCCTCAAGAAAGACATTTATATGGAACAATGTGAGGGTTACATTCCTAAATGTATTTCTCTAAGTAATTTTTCTCTCTTCCTCTCTCTCTCTCTCCTCTTCCTACCTTTTTCTTTCTTTTTTATCAAGAAAACAATATGGAAGGAAGGTTTTTTACCAACAGACTAGTGAAATAGACTACAAGAATTTAAACAAACTACAAGACTTGAAACAAATCAAATCATATGTTATTGTAGGGATGAGAGTTTACACTCGAAAATGGTGCCTTGGTGGTTTTGTATGCTGCAGTGGAAAAACAGGGGGAGGAAGAAAGTGTGAGAGAGAAGGAGAGGGAGAAGAAGAGGAAAGGGGAGAGAGAGAGAGAGAAATCAGTGGTGTGACTTACCTCACTGGAGTTTCAATTCAGTTTGGTTCTTCAAACTTCAGCTGCCCAAGGAGGGAGTGATGAGAGATGAGTGAGAAGGTTGGAAAGGTGATTTAGCTTCTATTTGTTTTGGTGATTTTGTGGGGCATGCTACCCCCATCTTGTGTAGCACCTTTTGAAGGAAAGTAGGAATCTTTAAAGAGAAGGGTTTGAGGGGGGGGGGGTATCATTTTCATTTGTTATTGTTTCAACCACTGGGAATGGGATGAAGATTCCAGGGGCTGTGGTGGGTCGAGAGTGAAGATTTCCTCAAATGAGGGATTGCCATTCCACCCGGAATGGGAATCAGATTCCAATTCCACCCAACCAAATGGTTGCACCATTCTAATTCCAATTCTAGAACATAAAACAGAAACAAATGGACTCCAACTCTTACAAGTCCTTTATACACCCTAAAAAGATCTACCTAGAACGTAAAACAGATACAAAATACTGGATTCAACTGAATACCTAGAGTAATATCCATAATCTAACCTTCTGGAATGCTTTCTCCCTCCAAGAGCGAACTTTTGGCCCTCTTTCCCTTTGTTTATTCTTCTTCAGGGCAGTTTCTCTCTAAATGACAAGGTCTTAATTTATTGGATAGCTTCTCTCTAGGTGTCAAGCCCTAGCCATTTGGACCTCTACCCGGAATGTGGTGAAATGACCTCTACTTAACGCATTTTGGGTCAAATTTAAAGCCACACTTTCTAAGAAATAATAATAAAATAAGAATTAACTTTGTTACCTGCTGTTGACCCTTCTATTCTCCAATGTATATGAATCATGGCCCTCAAAGGACAACAAAACAAGCCAAACCCTTTTTGTCTCGAAAGTACCTTGTGATTTGTGAATAGCCTTTGGACCTTTATGCTAAAACTGGCCTTATTCTAGGACCATGGGCCGGAACAATGACCCAACCCGAGTTCTTGAATCAAAGGCTCAATGCTAGGTCCATAGAACTGAACAAGATCAAGGCCTAAGCCCAAGATTCACATAGAGATAAGAGATGAGAACACCCCCACATCACATGGCTTTTGTGGTCCGTATTGAGGACCATTGAAGCTTTGAAGCCTATGCCACATGTCAGTATGTCAGGATGATATGGCACTGCCATGTCAGCATATGTATAACGGAAATGCCATATCAGCACAGAGACCACCTTTGGATGCAATGTCAGCACAGTGCTTATGTAGCAAGTAGCAAGAGCCATGTGGCAAAGGGCATTTCTGTTATTTGACACTAAAGACTTTTTAATAACACAAAACATGCCAGACACGTCTAACATGTGCCAGCCCTCTTACTGCACATAACAAGAGATTAGGTGGTAGCGTCACATCAGTACTCGTGCTATATGGACCATAGTCCCTTGGGAATGGGATACCATGTCAGTGAAGTGTTGATGTGGCAGTCATACTGGTCTATATATATAGCAAGAATTCTGATGAGGAAAAGCACTTTAGTAGAGGAACCAAATCAAATGAGGAAAAACACTTAATTGTAGATGATTTATTACCCTCTATGTTTATAGATTGATGAAAGAGAGAAGAAGAAAACCGTAACAAGATTGTGGTAAGAGATGGACGTTATGTTTGAAGAAGGTATTTGCAGAGAAAACTTCCCATTGCTTAACAGTAGACGTATTTTCTCCTCTCTTCCTTTTCTTTCTCCTTTTTCTTCCTTGGAAGACTTGTTTTTTAATTTTATTTTTGTCTTTATTATAGAACTCCAAATCTGCATACCGAGTGATGACTCTAATAAGAACTCCCAGGTAGAATATCCAAATCCGTATTTAATTTAGAAATCTGGAAACTTAAGCAAGAGCCAAACTATCAGTCACCCTATTACTATCTTACCTAGAAATAGAAGGCAAAATAGTTGTTGATCTCAAGACCAAGAAAATATTAATTGATTAATATCTGAGCAATTCCTGGGCTGTTCTATAGCCTTGAACCGATATGATCTTCAAAAACTTTGATTTTTCTTGATTTTTGGGAAGCACTCTCTAAGAACCATTTCTTGGCATCAAATCAATTTGATTTCAAAAGATGTTAAAAACACAGTCAACAATATCAGAAGTAATCAGCCACTTCAATTCTCCATGCACACTGCTGATCATAGTGCATGGGCTTCCCACTTGTGTAAAAGAATAGGTAATCCTGCTCCGATACAAAGTTGTTTTGTACAGCAACAAAAGCTAAAGAATAAAACCAGAAAAATAGATAGAGAAAGTGGGAAAGAACAAGAGAAGAGAAAAGAGAAGAGAGAAGAAGAGAACAAAGAAGAAAGCAGTCAACTGTGGGAGCCAATGTTAGCACCACTTGTTTGAACATTAACTTGTATAACTGAATACAACAATTAAAGTAACACCTCTGTATGAGCAGCAGCAGCAGCAAAAAAAAAAGCTAAAAAATATAAAGGAAAATGTAAAAAGATAGTCCATAATATAATGGTTGATCCATCAAAACTGCCACAGAATCGTTGTCATTATTGTTGGGATGTGAGTTCTTGAACAAAATGAATACAGTAGAACTTAAGGATTTCCCTGTTGTAGGCATTGTCTTTAGATACAAGATTTTATAGCTCTAGATCATGTTAATACAATTTTCTATGCCATTTTCACTGTAAAAATCTGCTTGCAACAACCCCAATGCCTTTCAAAGCAATTATGACCAGCCCCACGAAACTTGAATACCTTGATTGCCATTTTTTCTGCAGTTTTTGGGAAAAAAAAAGTGTATTTAACAGAGGGACTGCTGTAGAATGGTGCTCCTGGGTACTGACAAACATCCTTTGAGATCATGGAGGATATTGATCTGAATACATTCAATCATTACCAGAAGTACCATTCCAGCAGTCTGTCTCTTAGCCAGGAAAGAAAAACATCAGGCCCCCTTGTGGCAACACTCCATTTCCCAATTTCCTACAGTTATTAGTGCTTTTTTCCAATAAAACTTGGATTCTCTTCAAACACAAAGAACTCAAGCATCTACCAGTAATCCATACAAGAACACTTGCCATCACTGAAGATGTGGAAGCGATTCCTGTCTCTTACTATTATTTCTCGATCATAAACCTTTGAAATTTGCTTTGTGAGACTATGACAATCTCTGCAAACTCGAAGGTTCTTCACCACTCTAATGGTGTCCCTTGGACCCAAGTGTAAGAAGCCAAAAGCAATAGCCAGCTTCTCACTGTGAATGGATATTGCGTACTCTTTCTCCTCTTCTTCTATGTCAAACAAGACCTGCTGTGTATCTGGTGAATACCCAATTACATTCTTCAGAACTGTACATATCTCAGACAACTTGTTGTAAATGTGGTCTGATTCTGGGTGGGACTGGTCACCAGATACAAACTGGTGAACAATTCCCTTCAACTCTATCATACTTACCCCTGGCAATTTAACAACTCCTTTGGTTTTCATTTGGTTTCTCACCTTTCTTGCATCATCCCATCGTTTTGCAGCAGCATATATGTTAGAGAGGAGTACATAGCTGTTGAAAAGGAAAATGAAAAGTCAATATAAAAGTACTTTTTTTAATTATGTATTTTCCATAAACATATTCTTTTCTTTAATAACATAGTTATAACTGTAATGTATATACTATATAGTAGGGGGCAGTGTTCTGTTTGAAAAATAGGAGATTGTCTCCTATGCTAGATCCTGACAGAATACAATGATCAGAACCATAAAATAATTTGCAGAAAAACAATTTTATTTCTAACTGCAAGGGAAACTCTGAACATGGATATATTTAAGGTAATATTTTATCCTAGAAAATAGAAGATCTAGTTTAGATCGATAAAAGGGTCAATCTAATTAGAATGCATGTATGCCATTTCATCAACTTTTTTCTGGTAGAGCCATTTCATCAACTATGTGACAGAGAATGTAGACCTTAGGTTGTTCTTCTAATTATTAGATGAACTATAATTTACTTGCAATATTTTGATTCAAAATAAAAGAGTTAACTATGACTTCCCGAGCAATAGCAACTAAGTTAGATCATGCTTAAAGCAGAATTAAATCAAGGTATCAAGTAAAAAGCCCATGATCCAATGTTGGTACTAGCTATCTGGGTCTTGGGATGGGTTGACTGGATGCAGACCTACCTTTGCCCCTTTTTTTTTTGCTCAAAGTGGCTGCTCTCACAGACTCAAAATTGCATTCCCTCTTGTCATGCCAAGATTTTATCATTTCACCAAGCAATGGCCCCTAAATCATGGTTTCAAGTAGATAAAGTGAAGAATCTTGTTCAATAAGATTTCATTGGAACAAACCCAAGAATCCAAGTTTTTGCTTAGTTATAGAAATTGATTTTAGAAAACAAATCACAAATTATTAGAGAACAACTTACCGGCCGCTATGGTGAGGTTGAAGGTTGATAAGGCGTTTCCCCACTCTCTCACCCACCTCAACATTCCCATGTATCCTGCAACCTCCAAGTAATGCTCCCCAGGCGTTAGCATTAGCCTCCATAGGCATGGTCTCAATTAACTCTATGGCCTTCTCTACAAGTCCGGCCCGAGCAAGGAGATCAATGACACACCCATAATGTTCAACCTTCGGATCAATCCCATAAGTGTTGTTCATGCAAGCAAGGAGGTTCTGACCTTCTTCCACCATCCCAGCATGACTACATGCAGTTAGTACTGCTACAAATGTTATGTCATCTGGCCTCACGCCCTCCTCTAGCATCTCTATAAAAAGCTGATAGGCTTCTAAAAATTGGCCATGCAAGGCCATGCCAGCTATAATGGTATTCCAAGCGAGAACATCTTTAAATTCTATCAAATTGAAGATATGCTTGGCATGAGAAATGCTTCCACATTTTGCATACATGTCTACCAGAGCAGTCCCCAAAATAGTGTTAATTTTGATCTTTTGCTTATTGATGTATGCATGCAGGTGGGCTCCTTGCTCCAAGGCACCCAAATGGGCAGCCGCAGATAACAGGCTGACCATTGTAGCTTCAGTTGGCTTTATACCTGCCACTCGCATTTCATCAAATAAGGTTAGAGCTTCATTTGATCGCCCAGTCTGCGCATAACAGGCTAACATCGCATTCCAAGACACAACGTCCCTCTGAGGCATCTCATGAAAAATTCGTCGTGCACCCTCTACATCCCCACATTTGACGTACCCTGCCAACATAGAATTCCAAGAAACCACATTTTTCTCAGGCATTTCATCAAATAGCCTCCTGGCTTCTTTGATATTCCCCAGAATTGCAAACCCATTGATCATGGTATTCCAAGAAACTATATCTTTGCATACCATCCGTTCAAATACTGATAAGGCAAGCTCCATATTCCCGCATTTTGCATAACCATCAATCATTGAATTCCAGGAAACTACATCCCTATCAGAGCACTTATCAAACAACTGCTTCGCAGCTTCTAGGTCTTTCCCATTTGCATACATATGAATCAAGGAGCTGCAAATATAATAATCTGACTCCAGTCCACTTCTAATGACATGGGTATGTATCAATGTTCCATTTTGATTCATCGACATTTCAGTGCACGCCTTAATCACAAAAGGGAATGTGAAATTGTTGGGTTTGAATCCTTGGTTAAGCATTTTCTGATAAAATATTATGGCTTCATGCGGGCTTTTACTTGAGGACAGACCTCTGATGAGTGAATTGCAAATAAAGGTTGTGGGGTTTTGCAGCTGGTCGAAAACAGCTTTAGCATAGTCTATGTTTCCATTAGGTGAGACTGCATAAAAAGAGACCAACTTTGCAGTTGCAAACGAGACATCATATGATGGGTTTTCTTCTTTGATGATCCGAGCATGTATTTGCTTAAACTCTCTCATGTTCTTGCATGAATCTAGCAAGGAAAGAACAAGGCCTTTCGAGGAAACATTTCTTATTTTACTTGATCCGCTATTCATGGAAAATTAGAGTAGTTGCAGAAGGGATTCCGGTCTCCAGCAAATTCCACTCTAGACTCTCGAATTTTAAGTGACGCTTGGAGTTTCCCTACGAATCCTCCTCGGTTCAAAATTTCAGAAAGGAGTGAAGAGAACTCTATGCCATGTGGAAGAAGTTATTGGGTGAATATTTGACAGAGTAACTAGTCTCATGTATGATAACATACTTCATTCCCAAACCAATGCATAGCTGAAAATGCTGTGAGGGTTGGTGTGAGGAGCAAAACCGGATTCACGGAAGAGCAGTCAGACTCAGATACTCAACTGCTTGCTCTCTGGGTTCCATCTCCTAGCGATACATGAAATGAAAGTAGTTGATTTCGATTATGGCTTCACTCTTCAGGTTATCTTGCACGAAAGATGGCTCTGTTTCACCACCCGAAGCTCTCCCAAGCTCTGAATGCTTTCTTTCACCAACATGTCGGAATTTAAACAAATCCATACCCGCATTCTAACCTCGGGTCTCGCCAGAGACATCTTTACCACAACCAGACTCGTAGCTTTCGAACCGTCGTTGACCTGGACGGTCGGACCGTTCGGACCGGAAACCGTTCAGACGACCGGTTCCATTTTATCCCAAATCCGGCATTTGGTCAAAAACTGTTGAATTAGTCAATGAATCATTGACCCAGATGATTTGACCGGTAAACCATTTGACCCGAAGAATGGTTTGCTACTTAGATCTCAGATCTGAGAAATCTCTGAGATTGAGAAATCTCAGATCCAAGACTGAGAAATCTCATATCTATCTTTCTCGAGCGAGAAGGTGAGAGAGAGAGTGAGATCTGAGACTGAGAACGCCACCATTGTTGCCGTTGTAGTTCGCCATTGCTGTCGTCGTTATCGTCGCCATTGTCATTGCCGCTGCAAGCCTGCAAGTGCTCCTCTTCTTCTTCTTCTTCTAAACTCTTTCAGTTCAGCCGACAATTTTCTTTCAAGTTTCAACTCTTATTTTCTCTTATATAGTATGCATCTTACCCTAATAATTCAATCTAATGGGTAAGATGTTCAAACCATTCGAACCGTTTGACCCAGACGATTGAACCGCTGACCCAGAAACCGGTGGCCAGAATAATTCCGTTTTCGGGTCAGTTTTTAAAACCTTGCTGAATCTAGCAACCTCAATTATGTTGAAATTCTCTTCGACCAGATCAAACACCCTATTCTTTGTATGCTCAGCGCTGGGATCTCATTGCTATAAAATGTGGGTTGGTTTGCAATGTGTTTAGCATAGCTGAATTATCTTGGACCACATTGGTTTCTGGGTACTCGAATTCTAGAGATATTGATGTGGCTCATAGGGGTGTAAACAGTATTTGAAAATTTGAATTCGAATTTGAGATTGACATAATCAAATCGAATTCCAATGAAGTGTTTTTACCGATTAATTAATTGAATCGAATTCAAATAGGAGTTGATTTGATTTGATAAATATTCATACTATACGTATATATCGATATTATATATTCATATATATTCGATAAATATTCGATTCGATAATATATATTATACATATATATCGATATTAGTGATGCAATTATATTCATATTAAATAAATATATTAATATATTATTTTGTTGGAGTACAATGAATTGAATGATGACTTTTGAAATTTTCTTTTATAATATTATTTTAATAATAAAGAATTGAAGGAAGAAAGAGACACTATGATTATTTTTCGGTCAAATAAAATAATATTTTAATACTTGTTATATTTTAATAATAAAAAATTGAACAGATACAGATGTCATGATTTTTGGAGCAATCAAAGTAATATTTTAATATTTTTTATCAAAAGGCATGTATCTCATTAATTATTTTGTACTTTTTATTTCAATCACTTTTCATTTATTATTCATCTTCTTCTTCGGCTCTTACTCTTGCAACATTTCTTCTTTACAACTTCTCTTGTTTTGGTCTACAACTTGTAAGTTTTAACATTAATCTCCCTTTTCTTCATTCCTTTTTTTTTATTTTTTACATACAAGTGTTTTTCATTCTTTGTTCCTTAGTGGTTTTCTCTCTCTTCCTCTCTCCCTATCTCTTGCTCTCTTTCCCTCTTGATGTTGCAGAGCACATGAACATGGTGGACAATCTCTCTGTTGCAGACCACACTAATGGCGATACTTGTTGCAGGGATATCAAATAGATGGCTATGATTCAAAAGAAAAAATTAATTTGTTTTTTGAATATTAGATCAACAGAGAATGAAAAAAAAAAAACTTCAAACCAGGTTTCTTCTTCTTCTCCTGGTGAAAGAGGTTGGTGTTAAAAATGTATTTTGAGTTCAAATCGAATTCGAATATCCGATTATTTAGGCGAATTCGAATTCGTTGTCTTGCTTTAAGAAACCGCTGGATATCTAATCGAATTCAAATATCCATCTATTTAATCGGTTTCGAATTCGAACCAAGCATGATTCGATTCGAATTTGCTCCGTTTACACCCCTAGTGGCTCGAGAGCTTTTTGATCAGATGTCATGTAGAAAGTAAGGTGGAGTTGATAAATCTAAACTTTGATGTCTTAAAAGATGTTTACCAAAAAAATATTTCTTAAAAGCTAAAATATTATAAGTTATTATTGGGTGTTGTTGCTGCCAAGGATGGGCTGAGGGCAACAATGTAATTATGCTTCCATCAACCAAGGGCTGATGTGTCTGATGGTTGCAAGGTCCGACCTGAGGATCATGGAGCATGTCAAAGTTGTTATCCCAAGGGTGGAGATTCTGATAGTCAAGTTAGCAAGGGCGTAACAAAGGGGTTAGATGAGGCCTGGGTACAGATAGCTCAGATGAGGTCACCAGAGAGCTAGAGAAATAAATGCCAAGATGGATTACCTCATAGTGACGCCACTTATTTATACTTGAGCTCGCCAAGAGTTAGTTAGCAGCGGACGGCCAGGATGTGATTTGGCTCGTGCTACGTGGTGCGATCTTGAGCCTGCCATGTGCGCCTACATCAAATGTGAAATTTGAGAAGTAGAAAAGATCTTCTATTTTTTTGGAGATTTTTGAAAAGATAAAGATCATTTGAGTTTGAGAATTCTTCAATATCTGAAATTGTGAAGTTTATTATTTTACATTGTTCGATACTATTATAAATAATAAAAAGAATATTAAATAAAAATATTATTCTATTAATAAACAAATATTATGATTTATTAAAATAAATAATAATTTATTACTTTCTTAATAATAATAATTTATTTATTATTATTGAAAAATTATAAATAAAAATGCTTTAATATTATTAATAAACATATTACTAAACATTAGTATTTGTTTAAATTAAAATGATATCATTTATTATTTTATTATAATAATTATTTCATAGTAATATATTTATTAGTATTAAATAATAATAAGAATATTATTATTGATATTACTATTATTGTTAAATAAATATTATTACTAATATTATAGTTTATTTAAATAAATTTATAATATTATTTAAATTATTATTATTATTTATTAATTAAATAGTATTAATAAATGTTATTATTTATGTAAACAAAATGCTATTATTTATTGTTGTTGTTATTATTGAATAGATGATATTAATGTGGGAATTAACATCATTTTATCATTCTAAATGCATCTCATTCGATTAAGACAAGAAATGGCGTTTGATAAATTTGAAATCTGAAAAGTTAAAAAAAATACTATTTGTGTTTGAAATCTTAAAAGCAACATTTATACTTTTTTGAGGTTTTGAATAATTAAGGTTGTTTGTGTTGGATCAATCATTCAACATCTGAAATTCCCCGATATTAATACTTTACCCTAATATAGATTAATTGGTAATTTTGAGTTCAATTTGCACTATTTCATAAAAAGAATTTATTAAATTCAAACAAAATATTGAACAATACAAATAAATAATAATAATTAATAATTAATTAAAATAATCAATAATTAATAAAAAATATTAAAAAATTAATAATTAACAAAAATAAAAATAATTAATAATTAATACAAATAAAAATTATAAAAAATAAAAAATATTAAATTGAAAATAATATTAAAATTTATGAATAAATTATTAAAAATTAAAACATTAAAATTATAAAAAATATTATTAAAATTAAAAAATAAAATAATATTGAAAATTCAAATAAATTCCACAAATCCATGAAATAATATTTAATAATTAGAAAATTAATATCTTAAAAACTATTAAAATAATTAAAATTAATAAATTAATAATTAACAACAACCAAGACTAAAAGAATTATGGAATCCCATCACCATTGTTCATCAATCCTTTTTTACCAAGGAGAGACAACACAACAAAATACAATCCGTTAAACCCAAATCGAAAAAACCAAATAGTAAAACCAAGTCGATTCTGGATTACCGTCACTTCCATTCTTCTTACCCTGGACTGAGCATGAAGTCGGTGAAGAGATCCAAGCACTGAGCCAGGAACACCAATGTGTATAGCTCTTGTTGTAGGTAGGGTAAAGGCTAGGTTGGGGAGTGGTCTCTTTGAAAGACAGAGAAAGACCAACAGTTGGAATGGGAGTGGATGAGGGTTGGGTGGTAGAGTTGGGAGTCAATGGTAAGGGTGCTCAATTGCCAAATGAATTTCAATATGATGAGGATTTCTATTTATGGGGGAGATCCCGAGATCCTAAAAGGAAGGAAATAAGGGTGCTCGTCTCCTATTAGGAAATGGAATATTGGGCTTGTTGTCAATCATTAAGTGCACCACTAGGGTTTCACCATGTATTTCATGGGGATCTTTCCAAGGATTGGCTTTCTTTTCACTCGGGAACCCTCATAATTCACATGTTCTACTACCTCTTGTGTGCCTTAATTGACATGGCACTAGTGACGTCATTGCATGGCGGGTGACGTCTTGTTAGTCTTACATGGCGCCTCACCATGTTCGTCCCCTCAACATTGCACGCGTAGGTGGCGTCTAGATGCAACTTCTTGGCGAGCCGTGACACTGTAGTGGCCGAGGGTTTATTGTAGGTCTACGTGTATGCAAACCTCAAACCCAAGTTCAAACTAGGTTTGCCTTGGTTCGAGCTACGAGTGGGCTCGTTGAGAGCATGCGATGAACCACGAGTTTATTGCGGTTCCTGCGATGTGCGTTGTAGGTTCATCGCAGGCCTGTAATGTATTGCGGGTTCATCGTAGAGGGAAAGTTAACTGCAGGCTGATTGCAAGCGTCCATGTGGTATCAGTACAATGTTTAATGTGCTTTGAGGGATTGAGTGAGCACTATATACCTGCACCTACGTCTTAAGCAAAATCCCTAATTGCAACAACAAGATTTTAGAAGAAGAAGAATTCAACTCTACCACCTGAATCAAATTAACAAAAACCCTAGAAAATACTAAGCCAAGGACCCTAATTTCTAGTCCAAGTGGAGA